TATATATATATATATATATATATAATATATATATATATATATATATATATATATATATATATATATATAGCGAGTGTTTGCAACTTTAATTTTGTCGCTTCTCGCATCCCAATCGCCATAATTTCTTATCGGCCCAGTCTCCTTCTTGAAGACCTCTATTTTCCATTTCTATATGAATATTGGATATCCATTTCTTTCTTGGCCTTCCCCTTTTATTTCTCTGTGTAGGTCTCCAGTTCCAAACCTTTCGTGGTATCCTTTCTTCGTTCATCCGTCTCAGGTGTCCATACCATTTTAATTGTTTTTCGGCTATCGTATCCATTATTGTGTTCTTTACTTTCATTCTCTCTCTTATGTTTTCATTTCTTATGTGGTCAAACAAAGTTAACCCGGAACATCTTCTCCAGTACATCATTTCCGTTGAGAGGAGATTTTGTGACATATTCTTGTTAAAGACCCACACTTCTGACCCATACGTCAGCACCGGCTGAATCATAGCCTGATATATATTTTTCTTTGTTTTCTTAGTTAAAGTTTTATTCCACAGGATCGGATGTAGTGTTTTTATCATGTTTTTTCCTTTTCCTATTTTTCTTGTTATATCTTTGTCGTCTCTCCCGTCTTCGCTTAGTGTAACTCCGAGATATTCGTACTGATCAACGTTTTTAATTAATCCGCTTTCTGTTTCCATGTCTTGACCGATGCCTCCTATATTCATGTATTGTGTCTTTTCGGTATTAACCTCTAATCCCCATTTTTTGAATTCGTCTATTAGTTTGTTTATCATGTACGTCATATCTTGTAGGTCCTCGGCATGAACTACCTGGTCGTCTGCGAAGAGGATTGTGTATATAGGACTGTCATTTACCCATATGCCCATTGGACTGCATTTTCTCATCCAATATTTTAAAGCATTACCAAGATATATTTTAAAAAGGGTTGGGGAGAGGCAAGAGCCCTGTTTGACACCCTTTGTTTGGGTGAAACCCTTGGAAATTTGGTTTCCAACCTTAATATAAGCTTGGTTATCTTGATATAGCTTTTTCACGGCATTTATATATACTGCATTTATACCTGCGTTTTCCAATGTTGTCCGTAGTCTCTGCAGTAGTACGGAGTCAAACGCTTTACGGAGATCTATAAAAGTGGCATGAAGTTCTAGTCCTCTTGCTAATCTCTTTTCTATTAGATGTTTGAGAGTAAATACATTGTGGACACAAGATCTCCCTGGTCGGAATCCACTTTGTTCTTCGATCTCTGTGGCTTTTCTAATATCCCCGCCAAATTGTATTTTCGCCTTGCTTGTTCCATAGGTAAACATTTCCCTTTTTTTCCCGGAATTTTGTTCCTTCCTGATTTCCTCCATTTTTCTTTCTATTTCTCGCATGTCTTCTTGTAACGCGTTGTTAAATTTTGTTTCTAATTTTTCTAATTCCTTTTTCTGGACAGTCTTATTATTTTCATTTTAGTTTCTATTTCTTCTCTCTGCATCTCTAGTTTCCTCTCTGTTTCTTCTCTAACTTTTTCTTCATTTTCATATTTGTCCAAACGCTTTTCCATTTTCCTATCATTTTCTTCTAATTTCTGTTCTATTGCTTGTCTTGTTTCCCGCTGGTTTTCTTCCATTTTTAGTGATGTTTCTTTTTTGTTTTTCGCTGCTGTTTCATTCATTGTTTGTTTTGTCGTTTCTTGGCTTCTATTCATTTTCTTTGATGTTTCATTTATTGTTTGTGAAAATTCATCCATTTTTCGTAACGTTTCTTTCTGGATTTTATCCATTTTCTCGTAATGAAGTTGCATTAGTTGTAATATTTTATCTATTTCTGATGATTCATTTTTCTCCTTAATTATTGTAACATTTTCTTCGCTATCCGATCCTTCTTCAACAATTGTTTCCTCTTCTCTGTTATTCTCGTTCCTTTCTTGCATTTTGCTTTGACTCCTTGTGGTCGACATGTTTATTTTCGTTACTGTTTTTGTCCCCGTCAAATGTGAAATTTTACAACACTCATATGTTGCAGAACACGACAAATATTTCTCTCCAATTGTAATAAATTTTCACGACAAATGTCAATTATGCAATCAGTAAAATTCAAATAATTCAAAATGAATATCAAATGTACGATTGGTAAAGAAAATAAAATCAAATAATTCAATAGCAGTAAATATCAACTAACTACGATCAATCAATAAATCAAATTTTTATCAACTGAAAAAAATTATCAAAATACTTTCAAATTCAAATTCCCTCAATGTTATATGTTTTTATCTCTGGATCACCTGTACTTGTTCCAGATCTTTTTCCCTTCCTTCAAATGTAAAGCTGCGATATTTTCAAGCCCCACGTTTTGGAAGCCAGTTTTTGTGATATTTAAAGTCTTGGTGCGTCAAGCAATTAGTTAGCTAATTAATTAATTAATTAATTAAAATTATTTTAATGATATGACTATGATTCTATCACAATTTTTAATTCTCTTATCTCAGGGTTATATTCGTGCTTCTATATCTATGCTATTACATGTGAAAGGTAAGGTCCAAAGAATACTGGAATAATAAAAAACATATAGGATCTAACGTTATATATTGAAATAAAAATAATAAAATAAAATTCACACTCAAATGTTTTCAATAAACAAAATCTCATATAATGATTCTCAAAATTTTATTCTACGTACGTGAATCTTCAAAATTACTGGTAAAAACAATATTTGTTGAAATCTCAAAATCCAAATATTATTCTAAATCTCCTAATCAAAATATTTATATCTTCTCCAAAGTAATTGCAAAAATTGTGTTATCAATGAAAGAAAAACTGTAGAAAAACAAAACTATCTCTCTATGATGATGAGTGGTCCAAATCCTTGTTCTTTGTAGTCTACACTATCTATTCTTAGCAGCTCCCTAGGTAATCAGCAATCTTACAACCAATTATTGCAAGTTTATCGTCCTTAATGATCTCTTTCAAATGCACGAATCGTTCAAATCATGCTAGCTTCTTCTCCTTTCAATAAACTGAATCTCTCGTTGGCCCGAGTGAAAAATGACTCTTGGAATATCTTCTCTTTACGATAAACTGAATCTCTCGTTGGCCTGAACAGTGACTCTTGGAATATAAGTAGAAAATATAACTTACAATCTTTTACTGGATCAGCTTCTGTCAGAGACACTAACTACAAGAAAACTCACAAACTTTCACTGCTACTCCTTCCTACCTCTGGGAAACTACCCAAGAACAACGGCCGTTCGCCTTCTACCTTTGAAAACCAATTGACTATCTTTTTTGTTTCAAAAACTCACTAAAGTCTCATTCTCAAACCAGTCATCCCACCTTTTTCAATTTCATCCAATCAAAACGCGTCATCCATCTCCCATTTCTTCATTTCGATAACACACAAATTTTTACCTACAATTATAAAATTTTCTAAAACTATTTTACAAAATAATCTTTTCCTACCAATTCATAAGAACTAACAAAAACATATCTTTCTAAAATCTATTCTATTGTCCTAATCACTGCACTAATGTAGTTGGAAAACCCGGTTCAATTGTCTTAAGTTCGCTCACGTCACTCAAATATATTTTAACAAAGAAAATAATTTATGCATAGCTTACGTTTTGTTCAATATAGGTAATCCAAAGATAAAAGGACTTTCATTCTTCGAAATGTTTGTCGTTTATTAATTCGACTTATCTGAATTATTTTAATTATTTGAACTTTGAAATATTTTTAAACAAACCGATATTTTCTTGATTTTACATATCATAACAATATATATATATATATATATATATATATATATATATATATTTATATATATATATATATATATATATATATATATATATATATTAATATGAGTGAATTTTCCCCTTAGAGGATGTGTGAGCCGTTTGGCTAAATCTGGAAAATAATAATATTGTATGACATTTCTTCCGGAGAGATCCTTCGGATTGCTCCGGCACCATTTGCATCTTCAACAATATTTCAGGAAAGTAGTGTACTGCATTGTGCCGACGAATTTACGACGCATTTTGTTTCATTAACATAATTAAAATACCTCCTTTGTTTTTTTTTACCACTTGGTTCTTTCAGAACTAGGTAAACTCATGTTCATTTTCCCGTACATATTTGAGATCTATTAAATTCTTTATTTTGGATATAATATTGATGTTCATTTATTCTAACATTTAAGATAGACATGATAATAGATATCAAATTAAAATATTTCTTAGATATATTTTTTAGTCTCAATACTAGTATTAGGTTTAGGATAAGATTATAAACTAAAAAATGACTAATAGGTATGATTAGATAGATTGGCGAATGGATTTAGTGTCCGCAGCCATATAAACCAAAACAAACAACAGTTTAGCGTACTCTTATTGTAAACTTAAATAATTCTTATGCTAAAATTATAATTTTGTTTCTTTGGTTGATAATTAAATGTGAATATCTATGTATGCGATTTGCGATGTTATGAATTTGTGATTTTTTTGTACATATTATAATATTATATAATTGATATAACTTATTTACGCTTCTAATTTATTACATACTGAAGCTTAAGGCAGGTACCTACATATATACGAACAGAAAATCGCGTAAGCATTGGAGTAATATTGTCATTTTTCAGTTGTAAAGAAACTACATATTTGCAGTTTAGTAAAAGTTTTTAATGAGAAAAGAACCACTCAAACGTAATTAATAACAGTCAATTATAAAGTTATACTAAAAATGTCAACGTTTTACATAAAATAAGAGTATAGATGACCAATGTAAATATTTCAAAAAATTACTATTCCTCTGCACTCGAATAAACAATAATAATTTATATACAAAGTTGATCCTCCCCACTCGCATCCCTTCCCTTACAACATTTTCTTCCACTAATGAACTTTCAATTTTGCGTTTTCCAGCCAAGTTTAATGTCGGAGAGCCGAGCAGTCAAGTTGCCGGTACTTACATATAGCGAGAGAAGTCTTTGGTGGTACTATCGTGCCACGCTCGTTAGTTATTGATCAATATTTGTTTTTTTTTTTTATATTCCGGAGTGTTGGTGCCAGAGAATGGTACTTGTCTAGTAGGTTTCGTAAAAGTGATCGCATAAATTTCTGCTTTGGATTTTTCTTTATAGTAAAGGTAAGTTTTTTTAAATATGGACGAAAGAATTATGTATATATTCGACACAACTTTTAATTCAACTTAAATTTGATTTGATTCTAATAAATAACGACCACGTTTAATTTTTTTTAAGTTTGATTATATTTAATTATAATAAATTAAATAGATTCAGTTACTGTTAATACAATTTAAAATCAGAATTAGTAATTAGAAATAGACAAATTATAAAAAAATAAAAAAAAAATTTATTAAAGTAATACAATATAAGGTTTTTGAGAAAAATAAATTATAATTTAATAGTCTTTTTAAATATAAACAGTAAGGTACACTTACATACAAAAATAAATTCGTAAAATCTCCGATTTTATGTGTTATTATAATCGTATATGTCTCCAACGTTTTATTGCACTTTCGCACATTTGAGACATTATTTAGCAACTTGTGATCTACTTTGCTTTTGACATCTATATTTAATATAAGACTTTAGAAGACAAAAACGAGGGGTTGAGGCGCCGGGCCTGCTACCCGACACTCGGAAAAAGTCATTATGCAAAAACCAATCCAACACAGCCTCGGATTTTGGACGGAAAGAAGGATATACGACTTAGGCGAAGAAAAAGGACTATAAGAATAGGAAGGTGGAATATACAAGGAATCGCATCTGAACAAAATGAAATAATCCCAGAAATCGAAAGACTAGGCACAGACATAATAAGTCTTAAGCGAAACAAAAAAAAAGGTCAAGGAGAGGAAATTATAGGGAAATATATACACATATGGAGTGGAGTTTGCATACATGAAAGAGCAGCAATAGGAGTATCAATATTAATAAAAAAAGAAATGGAGAAAATACATACAAGATTACCAGCAAATAAAAGAACGAATAATGGAAATTAGGATGAACATATTTGGACAACCAACAATAATTGTTGGAGTATATGCAATGAACGACAATGCGACCATAATAAGGGGAAAAGGAAGATTTTTCAACGCATTAAAAGATGTATTAGACAGGACAAAGAAAAAAAAAGATTCCACTGGGAAACTAAGTTCCTGTAGCTGGCTGTATACCATATATCACAAAAAATTGTTTAAAATCTTTTATAAAAGGTATATAAAAAATGCCCCAAACGGGCCATCACAAACACATTGCAAAACGTTTTCGGATTGATAAATCCATCATCAGTGCAAACGGTTGTACATGCTAGTAGTCACCAAAATATATGGGTCAAAACCCTTTAAATGTTTTAAATTTGTAGTTGTTTTACATTATTAATAGTTATAATTTGTGATGTTTAAGTTACCGTTGGATAGCCATGTTACCTATCCAACGGTAACTTAAACATCACAAATTATAACTATTAATAATGTAAAACAACTACAAATTTAAAACATTTAAAGGGTTTTGACCCATATATTTTGGTGGCTACTAGCATGTACAACCGTTTGCACTGATGATGGATTTATCAATCCGAAAACGTTTTGCAATGTGTTTGTGATAGCCCGTTTGGGGCATTTTTTATATACCTTTTATAAAGGATTTGAAAAAGAAGATATTCTACTAATTGGAGATTTTAACAGCTTCATAGGAACGGATGATGAAGATATAGTGGGACGATTCGGAGAAGACGAAATTAGAAACGACAATGGAAGTCGGCTAATCGAAATATAACGAGAATACGATGTAGTCATAACCAACACAAGATTCCAGCATAAAAACATACATAGATACACATGGGAAGAACTTAGTAGAAAACAAAAATCAATTATTGATTTAATAATAGTAAGAAAAGCCAGCAAAACAATAATACAAGATGTAAGAGTATACAGACAAGCAGAATGTGCAAGTAATCACCGATTAGTGCTAGGAAAATTCATATACACGGGAAGACGACAAAAAGACAATATCCAGAAAGATGAGGAGATGCAAAAAATCGCAAATACGAGGTATAAAGTAGAACTTCTACAACAATTTGGTACTCAAACACTATATCAGAATAGGCTACAGAATATGCTACAGATGAACGAAGAATGGACCCCAACACAAATGTATCAACACCTAAAGGAAAAAATAAACAAAGAGGCAAACGAAGTGTTGGGTATTGAACAACATAAGAATACATATTTGGAGAAATACAGTGACGACTTGGAAAAGATGATTAAAAGAAAAAAAAGTTCATTTCATAAGTGGCTAAACGACAGAACCCCAGGAACACGGGGAGAATATGTCACTCCCAGACAACAAGTTAAACAAAGAATAAAGCTCGAGGAAAAAGAATACTGGAAGAGAATGTACAGAGACATAGACAACACGATAGGGTATAACAGATCAACGGAAGCATGGAAAAAAATAAAAAACATCAGAAGTAATAAACGAAATAAAAATACAATACAGATAATTACATCAAAAGAGTGGATAAAGCATTACACAAAATTATTGCAGTAGAATAGGCCGGAGTATATCTCATACGACTCTGTGATAATAATAACTGAGGAAGCAGAAATCACAGAGGAAGATATAAATAAAGCACTAAAGAAATCCAAAAAACAATAAAGCACCAGGACCAGGAAACATAAAAATGGAACTGCTGAAATATGGAGGCGCAAGGATAGTATCCTTTATAAGAATGTTGTTCAATAAAATCGAAACAGGAGAGAAGATTCCCGATGAGTGGAATTTATCATACATGTCCTCTATTTTCAAAAAAGGTGACAAAAGGTCACCAAATAACTACAGAGGGATCAGTGTAATGCCTTCAATAGCAAGAATCTTTTCATCAGTTATAAAAGAAAAACTAGAACAACACATGGACCATTATACGAAGAACAAGCCGGATTCCGAAAAGCCAGATCATGTTTAGATAATATATTCATTATCAGACAGGTGATTAAAAAGAACAAAGAAAAAAACATTGAAACACATATGACCTTTATCGACTTAAAGAAAGCATACGATAGCGTGCCCAGCAAACAACTATGGGAAGCAATGGGAAGAATGCGCGTTAGAGAGAAATGGGTAAATATAACACAAAGACTGTATAAAGAAACACAAGTGCAAATAAAGTTAGGTAATGAAATAACAAAAACAATCACCGCAACAAAAGGCCTCAAACAGGGATGTGTTGTATCACCTACACTTTTTAACACATATATAGATCAGGCTTTGAAAAGATGGTATAGAAAATGCGGAACAATGGGCATACCAGTACAAGGGAATATATTACATTCACTACTTTTCGCAGATGATCAAGTAATTTTTGCACAAGACAGGGAGGATATGGAATATGTGATAAGGAAATTAAAGGAAGAATATGAACTTTGGGGACTCAAAATAAATATGTGCAAGAGCGAATACTTATGTATTGGAATCGAGGTTTCAGATTTGAACTTAAGTTTAGAAGAAGAGACTATTAAGCCTCTATTACCTTTTTTTGTTAAAATAATGTATCTTTATTATTTTTTATCAAAAAAACCGATAACTTGAACAGCAAAAAAGTTAGGTGCAAATGTGTGGCGCCCTCTATCAGCTACATCAAAGTATGCATTAAATTATAATTTTTGATATTTAATAGTACCCAGTTGTAAGTTTTTATACATAAATGTTTACAAACATAAAAGTTATAGCGAAAAATAAAATTTTAAATTACCTCTTTAACACCCTGTATCTTTCTTAATATCAACATTTTATTAAAGCAATTTGGCTTAAATCGTAATATTTTAAAGTGTAGAATCTACGGTTTCTTTTTGTAAATTACTTAAACCCTGTATAAACACGTAGGAATTATCACATAAAGTGGTCTCTATTAAAAATCACTGATATTTCTTAGAAACTCAGTATTTCGCTATTTATTTGATGGCTTCATCAGGAATACACTGCAAAACAATTTTAACATTACAAAAATGGCGTACAAATACATTTAAAAAACAACAAAAAAAACAAAGATTTTTAATAGAGACCACTTTACCTGATAATTCCTACGTATTTATAAATTATTTTTTGGCTGAAATAATCATGGCTGTATAAACTGTAGCTCTTTTTATATTCATGTAAAGTAAATTGTCAAGTATCATCAGTTCGCTAATAACGGGAAATACTTTAGCTGATATTTGCACAGGATTCGAATACTCATTACATTACGGTTATTAATTCAAAAAATATTTCATACTATTATGACGAATCTCTTTTAAAATGTCCTTACTATTATTGATTTAAAAACCATCGCTATATTAGATGAAGCCATTAACGGACTAATTAGATAAACAAATAAGTGGATATATTTTTTTGTAAGAAAATTTAAATTGTTAAATAATTCATTATATCTTGACATCCTAATACAAGGTCAAATTTAAGAGATATTGTGGATGTCTTGGAAGATAGTTAGTTAAGAGGTAATTTACTTTTTCAGGGACGCCAATGTATTATTGAATATCATCGAAAATAAATAGGATTTCTTAAAACTTTATTTCATGAATTATAAATTTTCCTTTTAGGCCAGTAAATAAACGTGAAATATGGTGATGCCTGGTAATTTTTCGTCTCACCACCGAATTGCATACAAGTTTCTACTTTTTAGGAGTGAAAGCTCCATATATTAGAAAAAAAGTCGTATACAGTATACGCGTTCTGAAGTATCAACTAAAATATGTGATTGATTTTTTACTCACTACTCGATTAGCCTTTAATCCTTGAAGTACTTAATAAAACATTTTGTAGGTTTTTTTAAGGAAAATGGCATCACTTAAATTAATTTTTTTTAAATCCTTATTTTTAAAGGGTTGTAGTTGAAAGGGCTTAACCGAGTCACTAATCACGACTGTATACAAACTTTGAGCAGCAATATCTTAACCAATTTTCGTTTTAACAGAAAAACAAGAAAACCAAAACAAAGAGCAAAACCTAGATTTTTTTATTATTCAACATTTTTCGTATATGTATGTTATTTAATAAAAAGGCATTTTTGTTTTATTTTAAAGCCTATGATGATGATGATGGTGATGATGATGATGATGATAGTGTG